TTCCAGATTTTTTGGGCCCTTTTTGTGCATTGATTTTTGATAGCTGAGATGACACGAGGAACTCAAAGATGTCTGTCCTTGTGTTTTGGTCATGTTTCTTTTTTTTGGGGGGTGGCAAGGGAGTGTTTGAGGGGAGGGTTTTCGAGTTAAGTGTTCTATGTAGTTTTGGGGCGTTAAGTATGATGTTTGTATTGAGTAGGGTTGGTGTTTTTAATATTGGTTTGGGGGGTGTGCTGCCTGTAGGAGAATTTGTTACATTCTAAATGAGCCTTTTGTTTGGGTAATTAGTGGGCTGAGATGGTTAATTGTTTTTTTGAGCCCCATGCACAAATTTCCCTAGGTGAGGGTAGGGGTAAAAAGAGAGTGATTAAGGGCCCGGAGGGCTGACTGTGGGAACTAGACCGATCTTCGACGTATGCTAAAGTCTTGGAAATTTTTTTTGAAATTTGTTGTATATGTGTATTTAAATTTGAGTTATTATCAAGGTGGGGTTTAAAAAAATTTTCCCTCTGTTGCTTTGGATAGGTGATTGTTTTTTTTTCGTTATGTTAAAAGGGCATCTTACTCTGTTTCCAAACGAATGAAGTAGGTTTTGTCAATGTTTAGTGTAATTTTTTAGTCCTCATCCAGGTAGATATTTTCTGTAATTCGGTTTTTACAGTATTGGGTAGCGGGATGGGCTCGGGGTGAGAGAAGAGTATGTAGTGTCATCTGCAAAAAAATGTGGGTTTGAGTAATTGCGAAATTTGGTAGGCTTTTTTGTTAGGAAAAAAGAGAAGAGGGCCCCAGGGCAGTTCCCCCGTGGGACACCAAAGTAAAATTTGGGTTTAGTAAGAGCTTGCCCCATTTGCGTACACTATTGGTTCTGTTGCTGAGTATGATTGAGGTAGTGAGGGAGTGCCCTCTAAAACCTAGTGTGACAATTTCATGGGGCAAGTCATGGTCAACTGTATCAAAAGCTTTCGTAAGTCAAAGAGTCCCCCTGGGACTTCTTTTTTCTCTATTGCAGTGTTTTATGTTCTGCATGTGTATAAAAGCTATTTGTATTTTTATTAGGGGGGGAATCCAAAATTTGGGGGGGTTGAGAATGTTTTTTGGGGTGAGGTAGGGTAGTTTTGTTTTATGAATTAATTTTCGAAGATTTTTGAGAGGGGGTGTAATTGGATATTTGGGCCCATGTTTTTTCAACCTTTTTTGGTCTTCTCCTTTATGGTCGGGGGGGACCCTTTTTATTTTGAGAGCTGTAGGGAAAGGGGGAGGATTAATGAATTTTTAAAGAGTGTTGCAAGATTGGTGTAGTATTGTGACATTTTTTTTATATAAAAGGGGGGGGTAAGGGATTTAAATCTCCTGCCCCGTTTTTTAGTGGTTGATAAAAAGGGGGGGACTTGTATGGGGTTAGTCGGAGCTAGAACGGTGTGTTCGGGGAGTTGCCCCGTGAGGTATCATTTGGTGGGGTATCTGAGCTTGGGATTTTTTGGAAGGTTTTGTCCATAGGGAGAAAAATCATTGGTCTGTTTGCTGTTTTGTTGGTGGGGGTTGGGGGGTTTATCTGATTTTCTTTTTTATTTCGCTTTTCGTGATTCTTTTTTGTTCCCCGAATTTTGATAGGGTTTTCCCGGTTTTTTTAAATCACCTTGTAAGTTGGAAATCTGTTCCATAATACAGTTTTCTTGCCCTTTTTTTTTTTTTTTTTTTTTTTTTTTTTTTTTTTTATTTTTTTTTTTTTTTAAAATTTTTTTTTTTTTTTTTTTTTTTTTTTTTTTTTTTTTTTTTTTTTTTTTTTTTTTGTTTTTTTTTTTTTTTTTTTTTTTCTGTCATTTGGGAAAAATTGAAGGTACTTTTGTTGTCTTTGGGGTTTTTTTTACCAAAGGGGTTTTTTTTATTCTGTGGTTTTTGTAATTATGGATTTTGGGGGTATGGTGGGTGGTTAAAAGGGAAAATGTTCAACCTTGGTTTTGTTACTGTTTAGTTTTTTTATGGTTTTGTTATAAGGTTTGGGTTTTTCAGGAAAATTTTTATTAACACCTAATAGTATGATTTTTTCTGGTGCACAAGTTTTTTCTGGTTTTGATTTAAATTGGGGTTTATTTTTGGAATCTGAGGTTACCCTTAAGGGTTTTTTTTGTATTTTACCCAGTTTTTGGAAAAGGGGATTTTTGTTTGGGTTTGGGATTAACTGTAATTTTTGGCTGGTAAGGGAAAGGGTGGGTCCGGAATGGCATAGACACTGTGTACACTTTTAGGTTTGTTTGTTGTGGCAACATAAGGGTTTAAATGTGTTGAATTTATTTTAAGTGTTTGTTGTTTTTGGAGGGGAATTTTGATTTTTTCCCGGTAGTAATTTTTCAGTAAAAATTTTAATCATTTAATCATTTAAAAAAAATTGGTAAGGTTGTTGTAAATTAGTTTTGAGTATCATGTTAGAAAATTTTGAAATTTTAAAACTAAAAAATACCCAATTATTTTAACAAATTTTTAAAAAAGGGCTAAGTATTTTTAAAACTTAAAAACTTGGGCTTAATTTGTGGTGCTGTGTACAAAATGGGCTTGGGGAAAATTGTGGGATACTTTAAAAAATTTTTAAAATTTTGTTTAAAATAAAAATTTAAAAATAAAAAGGGATTTTTAATTGTGGTGAACTAAAATGGGAAATTTAAAGATAAGGGTTAAAATTTGTTTTTTTTGGAAATCTATGTTTGGGTGGGAGTTAATACAAAAATGTTTAATTATTTAAATCAAAATTAAAAAGAAGTTTATAGGAACAATGGTTTAATATAAGAATTTTTTTATTTACTATAGTTATTTTAAATTTAATAAAAAAAAAAAGGAAAATTCAAAAGTAAAAAAATGAATTAATTTTTAAAAATTGGGTTAAAAAAAATTTACAAGTAAAAAAATTTTTTAGGGAGCGAAAAAAAAAAGGAAAAAAAAAAAATAAAGGGACTTTTAAAAAATTTTGGTTTTAAAAAAATAAATTTAAAAATCAAAAAATTTACCCAAAAAAGTAAAAGATATAAAAAAATCTTAAAAAGTAGAATTATAATATTTATAAAATTAAAAAAAAAAAAAAGGACTTAATTAAAAAGTTGGTTGGTTTTTTAAAATAAAGTTTTGTTTTTTAATTCAAAAATAATTCACTTTTAAGTCCTAAAATAAAAAAAATGGACTTTTTGGTTTTTATGAAATAGAGGGGACTTTTAAGGTCAAAATAATTAATTGGGGTTTATTATACAATTTTAAAATTTAAAAAAATTTTTTTGGGAAGTTTTAGTTTTTTTCAAAAATAAAAATTTTGGTTTTAAAATTTTGTTTTTTTAAATTAATTTTGGTTAATAATAATATTAAAAAAAAAGGGAAAAAAAAAATAAAATTTATTAATTTTTCACTGGTGTTATATAATTTTTAACAAAATTAGAGTTAAGTTTAAATTGGGAAAAAAAAAAATAAAAGTTAAGGACAAGAATGGGGAAAAAAATTTTTTTTTTTTTTTTTAAAAAATTTTCCCTTTTTTTAAAAAATTTTTAAAAAATTTTTAATAAAAATTTAAATTTTTGTATAAAAAAAGAAAAAATTTTGAAGATATAATTATAAATTTAAAAAAAATAAAATTGGGAAGGAAATGACAATTTGTAAGTTTTGAAAACAAAGTAAAAAGAAAATTAAAAAATTATTACATTTAAAAAAACAAAAGAAATTTGTTAAAATTTTAACAAGGATTTTCTTTTTTATAAAGGGGGGTGTAAGAATGTTACGTACACAGAAAAAAAAGGGGGTTTTCAAGGTTTTTGGAGTTTGAATTCACTTTGAAAAGGATGAAGGACTTTTTGGGGAAGAAAAATATGTTTAAATGTTCAAAATATTGACTGAAAAAATTGGTGATTTTAAATTTATAGTTTAATGATTACAATTGAAAATATGGGGCTTTATTCAATATTGCTGGATTTTGGGGTTAAAAGGATTTCAGGTTATTTAAAGAGTGCTTGATTTTGAATTGTGATTAAAAGATTTAAAGATTAGACAAGAGGTTAAAAAAAGTCAAAAATTTTTAAAGTATTGATTAATTTAAAAAAATTTTTTTTTTTATTTTAAGAAAAAAATATTTTTAAAATTAAAAATAAAATTTTAAAAAAATATGAGGTAGTAATATGGACAGAGAAAGTATCAATTCAGCTAATGTTTGAGCAAACAATAGTAAATAAGAAAATTACATAAGGTGACTTATGCTTACTAGTAAAATCACAAAATGAGGTAGTTGATTATTTAATTACTAAGAGATTGTACAATGAAATTTGAACAATAATGGAGCTGTAACTGAAGTGTTACTTTGTACACAGAAAAAGAGGTTAACATGAGTTTGTGACTGACTGAATGAATGATTGACTGACTTACTGAATAACTGGCTTACTGAATGACTGACTTACTGAATGACTGAACTGACTGACTTACTGAGTGACTTTCTGAGTGACTTGACTGAATGACTTGACTGACTTACTGAGTGACAACTGACTTATTGAGTGACTTGACTGACTTACTGAGTGACTTGACTGACTTACTGAGTGACTTGACTGACTTACTGAATATTTGGAGTGACTTGACTGACTTACTGAATGACTTGACTGACTTACTGAATGACTTGACTGACTTACTGAATGACTTGACCGACTGAATGACTTGACTGACATACTGAGTGACTTGACTGACTACTGAGTGACTTGACTGACTTAACTGAGTGACTTGACTTACTAAGTGACTTGACTGTAATATTATATTATATTATTATTATTGTTGAGAAGAAAAGAGAATGATTTCCATGGAATTAAAGCATGAAATCATAGATAAACAAGCCAGGTGTCCAGGTTTTGGGTTGAGGGGGGAAGAGGGAAGGGGAGCTGGCTCGTAACTCATAAGTTGGGACACTCCTAAGTCAAGGTTCCACTGTATATCCATTTATTTACAGCAAAATAAATTTTGCATGTATAATTGTTTCATTGATATACTGTATACAGTATGTGTAAAGGGTGGCAATTTTTAAGGTTAGTAAACAGGCACATTAGGCTAAACATACAAACCTGCAAGCACACAAATTTGACTTTCTCATCCAGTGGCGTTCCACCAGCTGTGAGTGTTGCCCCACATAACTGCCAACCATCAGGGCTCTCACGTAGTTGTTGTAGGTATTCAAGTGCCTGTAAATTTACAGATAAAAAGATAAGAACAGAGAAGAAAAAAAACTGATTTAAATTTATTATTCATAGGTACAGTAAACCCCGGTTTTCATAATTAATCCGTTCCAGGTTGGCCTAAATCCAAAATGGCCGAAAACCAAAGAAATGTATGACCAATGTAAATCAAATTAATCTGCTTCAGACACCCAAAAATATTAAATAAAATACATTTTATAGAGAATAACTATAGCTTTACATACAGAAAAAATGAGAAATAAATATAAATGACTAATTTTAATGATAAATGAACATTACATACCTTTATTGAAGACTCTTGTTGATAAGAAGTATTTATTAGTAGTCCCAGAGGGACTAAATCCTAGGCGTATACCCACATACACAGCAGCCTACAGCCATATTATTACCATTGACATACCATGTTCACTGAGTTTAATCGTTTCTAACAACTACCTTTAGATGCAATCATAAACAAAGGAAGAAGTAATGAATAATTCATGCCGAGAATAGTAAACAAGAGAGAGGAATACAGTGGTCCCTCAATAATCGTCCGGCCTGAAAGTCGTCCATTTCGGAAATAGTCCTGTTTTTTCGTCAAAATATTGGCTCGTAAATGGTCCGGTAACTCGCTAATAGTCCTAATAGTCCTTCGTCTTAGACGTGTACTCACGCTCTGAGCCGCCTCGGCCTTTCCTTCCCAGCCAGTGTGCCATTGTTTACCAGTGAGTGACGGTCCCCTCACATGCTCCTACGAAATATTTCATAATATTCCATTGATTTTAGTGCTTGCAAGTGCTAAATAAGCTACCATGGCTCCAAATAAAGCTTCTAGTGCCAGCCCTTTGGTAAAGAATGTTAGAAACACATAATTTATGAAAAAGTTTGTAGAAAAATACAAAGATGGTGGTGGTAGAGTGGAAGCAGTTGTGATAGTGGATGATGAACATAAGAAAGGAGGATCACTGCAGCAGGCCTGTTGGCCAATGCTCGGCAGGTCCTTTACAATTCATCCCACTAACGAAACATTTTCCCAACCCAGTCCTCAATGCTACCCAAGAAATAAGCTCTGATAACTCTATCCACTCATTTGGGACTTGCAAATGTTGTGTATTACATTTCTTGGGTATTTTAAATCATTACCTATTTCATAAATTTTGGTAATGATTTAAAATACCCAAGAAATGTAATTGATAAATCTTTTAAAGTTGCTAGAAATACTTTTTACAATCCAAAAAGGGACAACCAGCCTTATTCAACTAAAAATATGTTGGTTCTCCCTTACAATGAAAACTTGGTTGATATGCCTTCTCTTCTTAAGACTTTTAATATTAAAGTTGTATTCAAAAATCTTGATACAGTAAAAAAAACTTTTGATAAAGAATTCCCCCCAAAATGCTGATGGATGTGTCTATAAGATTCCTTGTAAAATTTGCGATGAAGTTTATTACGGTCAAACTGGTAAAAATCTCGAACTAAGATTAAAACAACATAAATATAGCATTAGAACTGGACAAGATTCCAATGCTCTATTTATTCATGTAAGAGATTTTAACCATCCAATTGATTTTCAAAAAGTTGAGAAAGTAGTATCTAGCAAGTCCATGGTCGACAGGAATATAATTGAATCTTGTTTCATAAAAAGCAGTTTTGACAATAATATGAATATTTCCTTTGGTTTATATAAATTAGATCCATTAATAATTAATAGAATTTGGGAAGAATTTAATAATACACTGGACAAATAATTTTTAAATTTTCTTGGGTAGAATAGTTTGTGGGGCGAGTTGTGCAAAGGACCTACCCAAGTTGGATCGGCGCGCGTCAGGTGTTTAACCGTTGTGGGATCTGATAGTGAGGTGCTGGCCAGACCCCTTATATAGCTTCCTTGGATGCTTTACTTTCATAGTTCCTTGATAATGTGAGTAGTCATGAAAGCGCTTGGAATTTCTCTATTCTTTCAGTGGTTGTTTTGCATATTCTGAAATCACCTGTTTACTGTAGAAAAATAATTTATAAAATTTTTGGAAAAAAAATTTGATAAAATTTTTGGGTTTTTAAAAAAAAATCATTACCTTTTTTAAAAATTTTTAAATTTTAAAAATTACCAAATTTAAAAAATTTTTAAGTTAAAACCCTTTAAAAAAAATTAAAACCACCTTTTATTCCAAAAATTTTTCTTTAAATGAAAAATTTATATTCTTTTTTTAATTTTTTAAAATTTAAAAATTTGTTTAAAAAAAAGGTTTTTATAAAGGGAAAATTTTTTTTTGGTTTTTAAAAAAAAATTTTTTAAAATTTTTTAAGTTTAATTAATTAACAAAAATTTTAAAAAAAAAACTTTTAAAAATTTTTCATTAAAGGCCAAAATTATTTGCGTATTTTTCCTTTTTGTAAAAGTTTAAAACCAAATTGTTTTTAAAATGGAAAATTATGTCAAAACCGGGGAAAATTTTTCCCCTTGTTTGTTAAAAAAACTTTTTGGGTTAAAAAAATTAATTTTTTTATAAAAAATTATTTAAAAAAATTATTTTTTTAAATTAAATTTTAACTAAAAATTTAATTTTTAAATTGGGAATATTTTAAATTTTAAAAAAATTTTTAAATTTTTTAAAATATTTTTTTTCATTTAAAAAAATTTTAAATTAATTTTTTAATTTTAAATTTTTTATTTTATTATTTAAAAAATTTTTAAATTTTTATTTTTATTTTTTTATATTTTAAAAATTTTAAATTTTATTTATTTTATTATTTTTTTATATTAAATATTTTATTATTTATTTTTTAAATATATAATTTATAAATTTAAAATTTAATAAAAATTTATAAAAAAATTTTATTTTTATTAAATATTATAAATATAAAAATTAAAAATTATAATATATTATTATAAAATTTTATAATTAATTTTTATAATAATAATAAAATTTATATAATTTTATTTAATTATATTTATAAATTAAAAATTATTTTTATATTTATTAAATTTAAAAATTAATTTAAAATTTATTATTAATTTTTAAAAAAATTTTATTTTAAAATTTAAAATTTTTTTAATTTTAAAAATATAATTTATTTAATTTTATAATAAATATTTTTTTTTTTTTTATTTTTTTTTTATTTTTTTTTTAAAAAAAAAAAAAAAAAAAAAAAATATATATTAATATTATTATTATTTATTATTATTATTTTATTTTTTATTATAATATTTTATATATATAATATATATATATATTAAAATTATATATTATCATATATATATATTATAAAATATTTTATATAATATATTATATAATTTTTATTTATTATATTTATATATATAATTTAAAAATCAATATATTATATTAAAAAAATATTTTTTTTTTTTTTAAATAAATTTTTAAAATTAAATTTATTATTATTATAATTAATATAAATTACACTTTTTTTTAAAACCTCATCGATTTTTCTTTGATTTTATTTTAATAGTTTTTTGGGTCTTATAATTTTCCTTTTATATCCTGGGAAGTGGAATAAGAATCTTTCCCCTAAGCCATGCGTGTTGTAAAATCAACTAAAATGCCGGAAAAAAGGGTAGAACCCCTTTTTCCTGAAAAGATTACTAAAAAGAATAAGAAGAAGAAAATTGTCAAAGGGGAAAATCTGAATGTGTGATTTGTGCAAAGATAAGGGAGATGATGTGGATGTATAAATGAGAAGAACTGGATGTCCTGGCTTTAAGTGAAAAAAAGCTGAAGGGGGGGGGAGAGTTTCATGGAGGAAAAAAATGGGTTAGGTCGGGGTTTTCAAATAGAGTTAGAGCTAAAAAAGGGAGTAGCAATAATGTTAAGGTAAGTATGGCAGGAAAAGGGGGACTAAAATGTTTTAATTAAAGGGATTTGTGGAGTAAAAAAAAGATTGGATTAAAAAAAGGGGGTTAAAATGGTGTTGCATGGAGAAGAGAGAAGTGTAGAGGAGAGAGAGATTTGGGAAATGTTGAGTGAATGCGTGGGAGTTTTGAATCAAGGTGAGATAAGGGGGTTGGGGGATTCAATGTAAAGGGGGGAAAAATGTAGGGAGGGATTTAGTAGGAAAAATTTGGGGGTCCCGGGGGTAATGTAAATGGGAGCCTTTAATTGAGCTATGTGTAGAAAAAAAATTTGGTAATAAAAATTTTTTTAAAAAAAAATAAAAAGAGGATAAAAAAAATTAAAATTTTGATGTAGCACGTAATGAAAGTAGTTTTTGATTATGATTGGTGGAAAAAAGGTTGATGGTAGGCTCCAGGATGTAATGTTTATGGGGGCAACTGATATATGGGATCATTATTTAGTTGTAGCTACAGTTGAGTAAGGGGTAGAGGGAAAAGGGGAAAGGTGGCAACAACAAGAAAAGAGGGGTGAAAGTGTTAAACTAAGGGAGGAGGAATTCGGGCGAGATATAAGCAAATATTGGCGAAAGGTGGAAAGTGCAAAGTGAGAAAGGGGGGGGGGTTAAAGGGGTTGGAATATTTTTAAAAATGCAGTTTTAGAATGTGGGGCAGAATTTTGTGGTTTAGGAGGGTGGGGGCGGGAGGAAAGAGGGGGAAATTGGGTGGAATGAGAAGTAAAGGGTTGATAAAAGGAAAAAAAAGGTAGCTTATAAAGGGGTTTTTCAAAGCAGAAGTGTTATAAAAAACAAAAAAGGGGGAAATAAAGAAAGGTGGGGAGGGGGGAAAAAAAGGGAGATGAAGAGTGGGGGGGCATTTAAAAATTTTAAAAAAATAAAAAAAATTTTTGGGGTAGTTAAACAAGTAAGAAAGCCAAGGGAAAAAAAGGATTTTTCAGTTAAAACAGGAAGGGGGGGAAGGATGGGGGTTTGGAAGGGAAAAATTTTTTAAAATTTTTTTAAATTAAGGAAAAACAGAAGGGGAATTAGACTTAGGGGGGTTTTTTTTGGGGGGGAAAAAAAATGAATGGGGGGGGCGGGGGATTTGTAAAAAAAGGGGGGGAAAAGGTGGGAATATTTGGGGAAAAAAATTAAAAACA